GCTAAGCACTGACCAAACCAGTCATGCAACCACAAGTTGTATCTATTTATCTGATGTAAAACTACTGAACAAGAAATGCTACTATATGCCTCTGAAGTTGAGCCACTAACATAAGTGTTTTTTCATATGTAGTATGACGTATAATAACTCATTCATATATACATGTATTTGTCATTCTGCTGCTGTTGTTGTTGGCTTTGTTGTTGTTGTTGTTGTTGGCTGTGTTGTTGTTGTTGCTGCTGTTGTTGTTGGCTTTGTTATTGTTATTGTTGCTGTTGTTGTTGGCTGTGTTGTTGTTGCTGCTGTTGTTATTGGCTTTGTTGTTGTTGTTGCTGCTGTTGTTGTTGGCTTTGTTGTTGTTGTTGCTGTTGTTGTTGGCTGTGTCGTTGTTGCTGCTGTTGTTGTTGTTGTTGGCTTTGTTGTTGTTGTCGCCTTTGTTGTTGGCTTTGTTGTTGATGTCGCCGTTGTTGTTGCTGCTGTTGTTGTTGTTGTTGCTGCTGTTGTTGTTGTTGCTGTTGTTGTTGGCTTTGTTATTGTTGTTGTTGCTGTTGTTGTTGGCTTTGTTGTTGTTGCTGCTGTTGTTGTTGGATTTGTTGTTGTTGCTGCTGTTGTTGTTGGCTTTGTTGTGTTTGTTGCTGTTGTTGTTGGCTGTGCTGTTGTTGTTGCTGTTGTTGTTGGCTGTGTTGTTGTTGTTGCTGCTGTCATTGTTGGCTTTGTTGTTGTTGTTGTTGTTGTTGCTGTTGTTGTTGGCTTTGTTGTTGTTGCTGCTGTTGTTGTTGGCTTTGTTGTTGTTGTTGCTGTTGTTGGCTGTGTTGTTGTTGTTGCTGTTGTTGTTGGCTGTGTTGTTGTTGCTGCTGTCGTTGTTGGCTTTGTTGTTGTTGCTGCTGTTGTCGTTGTATTTGTTGTTGTTGTTGTTTTTGTTGCTATTGTTGTTGACTTTGTTCTTGTTACTGTGTCAGTTGTGGTGATAGCTGCAGTTAAACCTTCAGTTGTTGTTGAATCTGTAGTTGCTGTAGTTTCTGTAGTTGCAGTTGAACCTTCAGTTGTTGATGATGTTGTACTTGTTGTTGTACCTTCAGTTGTTGCTGATGCTCTTGATTCTGTAGTTCCAGTTGAACCTTCAGTTGCTGTTGAGGTTGTAGTTCCAGTTGAACCTTCAGTGGTTGTTGATGCTGTAGTTGCTGTTGTTTCTGTAGTTGAAGTTGATCCTACAGTTGTTGTTGAATCTGTAGCTGCAGTTGTACCATCAGTAGTTGTTGAAGCTGTAGTTGCTTCAGAAACTGTTGTTGCTTTTGTTTCTATAGTTCCAGTCAAACCTTCAGTTGTTATTGATGGTGTAGTTGCTGTTTTAACTTCAGTTGTTGTTAAGGCTGTGGTTGCTGTTGTACCTTCAGTTTTGGTTGATGCTGTAGCTGCTGTTGTTGAAGTTGTAACTTCCGTTGTTGTTGATGCTGTAGTTGCTGTTGTTTCTGTAGTTGCAATTGAACCTTCAGTTGTTGTTGATGCTGAAGTTTCTTTTGTTTCTGAGGTTTCAGTTGTACTTTCAGTAGTTGTTGATGGCGTAGTTGCTGTTGTGCCTTCAGTTGTTGATGACGCTCTAGTTGCTGTTGTTTCTGTAGTTGCAGTTGAACCTTCAGTTGTTGTTGACGCTGTAGTTGCTGTTTTTTCTGTAGTTGCAGTTGAACCTTCAGTTGCTGTTGTTTCTGTACTTGCAGTTG